GATCCGTTTGACATAGATCAATCATATGGTAATCGTTTTTCCTGTCATTTATTCCAGTTATCATTAGTACAAGCATTTTACAACAACACTGAACCTTAAAATAAGCTTCTAAGTGTCCACCATTTATCCATCTTGAATGACTCATTACCTTTCCTTATAATATAGACCTAATTGACCTTTAATTTTGACCTTGACGTTTTAAAATTTCGAACAGGCCTTAATAATTTGTTTTGCTGATTTTTCCATAAAATTAACGTAAAATAATGGTTAAGAATTTAGTAAACAAATCGATTTTCGCTAAAAAATAACCTTAACACTAACCTAGCAATCGAGGCAAAGTCAACAGGGTTTGATAAACATATTGGGAAATTCAATAGTTCTAAATTAATTTTAATTGGTGTGTCAAAATATAATTTTATAACTAATGCAAATTTTACACTATTGAATGAGAAAATAATTAATATGTTACTACAGAAGAACTACTGCTAGGGTATTGTAAATAACGGAACCTATTTTTTCACATATCCTATTCTCTAAAATCATTTTCAAATTTATCATTACTCGAATAGTCATTTCATAAAGAAGAAATAATTAGAACAATTGGACTCTGGATGCATGAATCGCTAACTTTCAATCTGTCGTATTTTTGTGTGGACTGTTTGATTTATCTTTGTCTATTAACAATAAATATGAAATACTGGACGGCCGTTTCGTCCTGGTATGGGACTCATCAGCAGTGCGCATCCACGACTTCTGCTCCTCGCAGATTGATTGATGATTTCAAATGTGTAAAAACACAAACCTCCAAAACTCTGCCCCAAAATAGGAAATAACGATAGTTTCATAGAATGGATTCTTTCCGATCAAAATAATGTCGTCTGACTAATGAAGCTGAAATAAAATTTATAAACCTGAAGTAAATAGATAATTCTTTAAGATACGGTTACAGTAAACTTCACTTGACTATCAAGATGGTGTTTAATTTGTAGCAATAAGTAGTATTTATAGTGTTAATATAATAGATTAAATCGTACAAATGAACTGGTACCATGCTGCTCGCTATAAATGCATTGAATGGGAAGAAGACAAAATTTATACTGTATTTTTTCAATGGCATCTTATTCATGTATGTTTTTGTTAAATAGAAGTATACTTCCTGTCCATTTACCTATTTTGAAGAATCATTCATTGTCATTCATAAGTAACTATTTAAATTCTGTACACAAATCATTTTAATGGATTTAGAATATTATAACTAACTAAAACATTATAAGGAAACAATGAGAACTGAATAAACTACTTATTGTGATTACCTTATTGTTTATCCCCAGGTTGGGAAGACGGTGAAAAATATCAAAGTAAAATCCTCGCCATTGATTCATTGGGTGAACTCCAGAATAAGGTAGCACGAAAATAATAGAATTTATCAAAGGTTAAACTGGTGCAAAATGTTCAGACTCTACCATTCTATAAAGTTTGATAATAAAATATTCAATTTTTGGCAGCGTATAATTTGTATCTTTTTCTTAAAATGAAAATACTTAAAAATTCTTCTAACCTATTTAAATAAACAAGTTAAAACGGTTTTTCTACAGGATGTAAAGACACAAATATTACTCATATGCACAGTTAAAGAATATATGTACATTTATTTCACACAGATCTAATATAATTTCATTATTCACCTGGAACTTTTTAAAACCGCAATTTCCGCTTCCATTTCTCATACGATAGTTTCGTGAATGACTAGGAATCCATAACAATTGTCTCCTTCTCTTAACTGTATGAACTTGAATCATGATTATGCTATTCATCAATGAGACTATACATTACATATTGTATGTAAAAATAAAAGAAACTTAATGGTTAAATCAACCAGGTGAAGTAAATATACAATACGCTACGAGTGTACTGCGCAGAAGTTCGCTCCGTACTACTATATGGATGCGAAACATGGCCAGTCAGAGTAGAGGACATTCATAGGTTATTAGTATTCAATTATAGATGTATTCGAAGCATTGCTCCTGTATCCTGGGACAACCGAGTAAGTAATTCTGTCGTTAGGAAACGAGTACTAGATAGGGATCGCACATCAGTTGATGAAGTAATGAAACTTCATCCGTTGAGGTAGTTGTGACATATATTACGAATGCTCAACCACCGACTACCTTGACAAGCTATGTTTTGTGGTGTAGGAGTAGGTTGGAAGAATGCTAGAGGTGGCCAGACCAAAACATGGCACAAATCCATGAAGTCACTGACAAGTGGACTAAGTCATGTTGGTAAATGTAAACCACCTGATTGGAGTCCGCGGGACGATAGTAACCGATGGTTACAGAACTTGAATGACATGGCTCAAAATCGTTTGCAATGGCGCAGGTGTATTCATTCTTCGGCTTCTCTCAAATTCTAATCCTCTGGATTATTCATCACCTTCATCTTTCTCTTTCTAAATTTATTTCACTGGATTATACTTCTTGAATAATATCTTCGAACCTTGTTCTTCTCCATTAACGCTAATACTCCTACTATCTCTACTACTAAGAGATTCGAACTGATAACTGTGTCTCTGCGCTAATGTGGTATGCCAACCTGAACTTATGTTGTACGTTGTAACTTACTGACTGGCTGATGTTACAAATTTAGATCTAACTAAACAAAACTCGAGTCATCTTTATTATTATTCTAATGACAGATAACAAGAGTTTGGGTGGTAATTATGTATTTATTTTTTGTAATTTCTTATAAATTATTTTTCGTAACTCATTTATTTATTTATTCGTCTTCAGTAATTTCTTATTTTTTTTTAGAAAAAATCTAAACTAGAATCTGATTATTAGATTTTTTTTATGCATAAACGTGTTTTCTTCAACAAAAGTAGTAGTAATATGCGGGAATGAATTGAAATTCAATTTTTTATTGGATCTCTGAATAAATCTTAACTATGTATAAATGCTACTTTGAACATGTCTGTCTGTTCAGTGAATAATTTAATTCGAAAATACTACACACAATGCAAAGGAATAAATTAACTCTGCATCACATTAAATTAACGCTTCTCTAAATTAAACCAAATTGTATAGAATATTCTCTCTCTCCCTTTCTCTGTCTCTCTGTCCCTTGATGTATAAATATTCTGTTAGTGGTGTTGCATACAAAAAATTTATGTTTACTTACGATGCACGAGCATTTAACAATCATTATTTTTTCTAGAATATAAAAATCAATCAATAACGAATTTTTTTGTCATATTGTTTACATCGTCATTATTCAGTAAATACTTATCAAAGTTTATGTTGGCTTTAAAATAAATTTATTTAACAATTACAGTAAAATACATGATAGATAAGCACGATAAACTATGATTAGATAAGTTGTGTAAAATTATATAATTAACGAAAGACTCATGAAAAAAAGCCTGAATTAATTTCTGGTTTAATAATTGAATTGTCTTTTAACTGTTTCAAAATTTACTTATAAAAAGAAATAACGCGTTAGACTGCATACTGCAATTTATTTAAAAATAATCTTTCGTAATCATAGGGTTTGTCTCGAAAAAAAGTATTGTTATGTTTATTTTCGAACTGTATGCTTCAAAATTCAGCAATGGCAAAGTCTTATTAGAATGAAATTCAAAAGATTTATCGCAAACATATTTTACTTTTATTCAATTGTCTACTGCACTGAAACTTTTTTTTATCCTAATAATAATTCTATATTGTAAATCATGTACACATTGTTGAAGCCTAACAGTTACCAAGACGACAAAAAGCAGTTACCTTTAGATATGATTTTTGTTATAGAGCAATAGATTGTTCGGTTTTATTGAAATTATGAATCGATCATTGTTAGATCACCTAGAAGCACTGAACAGCCGTTTCGTCTTAGTATGAGACTCGTCAACAGTGCACATCCACGACACCCCTCAGAGGAATACAACCCAGGACCTTCAGTCTCGTGCACAAACGCTTGTTCTCTGAAGCGCAGTGCAATCATCCAGCACCGTTAGTGCCTAACTTCAATCAATCGACGATATTGCGCAACGTCATCCAATATCTTCGGTAGGATACTGCCTACACCCAACAGGTTTGAACTCCAATAGTCATGGCTTCTCACTAGAACTCAGAGAATTTCCTCACGAAGCTAGTTGGTAGTGAGCACATTTTTATTATAGAGCTGTGGATTATTGAGTTTTATTCAAAACATGAATCAAGGCTTCTAATGGTAGTCTAACAATGATTGACTCATGATTTTAGTAAAACTTTTAATAGAATGAACCAACTAAATAAAGCAATTTTATGTCTCAACATTATTTTTAATTAAAAATAACTAATAACAGATTACTATAGATATTATTCACAACTATAACAGCTAAGATCATTGATTTAAACGAAAATATGTACGTGAAAATATTGTATCTATTGTTATTATTTTATATATTACAAACAATTACAATTTTCATCTGTCACAACTTTTGTCTTGACTAAATGAACATAACATAATTTAATATTGTATATCAATAATTCTTGTGTATAGAAAATCCCATTAGTCGAAAATCGTTATAAGTTGTTTGTTGATGTTATGATATAAGCTGAAACTTTACTAAAATTTTTGATAATTGTTAATTTCAGGACTAATCTATTGGCATTGTCTTTTTATATTATACTACTAGTTAGAAACATAATAAAATTCCATTGTTCAATCATCAATTTGAGTTATGCTATATTTTCTCATACACTTACACCTTTATTAATATATTATTCATAATTTAAACCTATTTTTCATGTTAACTGTAACATCGTCAATAAAATAGGATGACAGTAAGATAGCATGAACGATATAATTTTGATTTAACCATAAGCTGAATTGAATATCATCACATATTACAGGATTAATCCTTACATTATTCCAAATATATATATATATATATATATATATATATATATATATATATATGCGCGATAGAGTGATTTACTTTGATCTATTTAATCTTTTTATAGCTGACAATTCATGTGTACGTTGTGTACGTAGTTCACCAATTGCATCTTTAGTTGGTTTCATCATTGTATTATTGGGTGGTGGTGCTTTTGGCGGAGCGATCATTTTTGCAAGGCGTTATTTAATTACACTTTTGAATGCTCCCAATCTGTGAGTTGTTTATTTATCTCCTCTGTATAACATTAAATACATTAGTCGTTATTTTTTCTTTTTCAATAAATTTGATTTTGACGAATAAACTTGTCACTCTATCTATGTTACATGTTTTTGTGTTTCGCAATGCTATTGCACAGATATTGAATATAGTAGTTCAATTGTATTGATGCATAACTAGTAACATGATAATATGAGATATATTTTTAGCTCTATATTATCAATGGATAACGCAATTTGAAACAAATAATTTAAGTCTATTCAAGTTCTCTTCACTAGGCTCTTATCTATTTGTGAAAAGCTACTTCCATTCTCTTTTAGATACTTCATTTTATAACAATGTAACAATCGAATTTCCAGCAGAGAAATTTAACTTAATTAGGAGTGCACATTATATTCGTACAGCCATCATAAACCATAAATTTAAAAGGAAATTGTATTCATCTTAACATAACTACGAATGCCGTCTCCTAATAACCACTTTTGGATTAACGTAAAGTTAATACTGCTTGCGTTAACGGGCTATCAGATTGAGAGATATGAAGTTGTGCATTTTGTGTGACTGTTTTAGAATATATTGATCATTCTATTGAAATTGTTTATCGCGTACTTATTAACTCAGGTACAAAACTTATTACAAATAACATTCTTTCTCTCCTAAAACATTCATCATTATACTGTTATTCACTTTCTCTTTCTATTTTCATTATAAAATAACATCGAATTACTCTATTCGTTAATGTATGACGTACTTTAACAGATCAATGACTCTGATTGGTCTGATTATGCTAAGCTTCCTAAGAATAACAAATCATTATGTGAAATAAACATTTCCCGTGTCCGTTGAACATGCAGACAAAAATCAAATTATCAGAATCATAGTTTTTCCAACTATATATTTTGAACATTTTAAGTTTTGTATGTACAGTGACCATAATTATTCAACAATGAACACCTTGGAAGTTGATCCACAGACTACAGCGGATAGTTTCAATAAATTTTGTTAACTGTCAAATTTAAGATAAAATGTTTGAATACATTTATATGTATCAAGGCTAATATAGGCTATTATCATTTTCATTATGACATAGATCTTAAATGTATTTTTGAAATAAAATCTAAACAAAACCTGTTATGATTTACACCTTCATAATGGTAAAGATTTCTTTCGACTTATTGATTTCAACCACCAGTCAGGAATTTGACCAGTAATCTACCCCGACCGAAATAGCAATCAATGATCAATCTGATCATTAACAGAATTAAATTAATATACAGCATGGATGACATTCCTCAAAAGAAACTTTTTCATAATCTACTCTATTCACTCAGTATATCTGCCTAAAAATTGCTCTTAATGATTTGTTAGTGTTCGTGTTAACTCATCACTGATGTTAAGGAGCAAATTTCTGTCAATCTGAGGATATAGGTTACTTTATACTTGGAGATTAACACTGCGATACAGATCGAACTAACTGATGAGTCCCTAGTAGAACAAAGAGCTGATCCCAGAACTCACTACTACTCATAATTCAATGTTAATGTATAAAATATCAAGGATTAGTTATTGTCCATTCTTTTATCCGATTACTTATTTTTCAGATTCCCATACTTGGACTATGCTACTTATGGTTTAGTCGGAGCAATAGGATTATTTTCATTGTTAGCCTACTTACTATGTGCTCTATCTTCCGGTTGGAATGCAAAACACTATTTTGAAAGTAGCCGAAAAGCATGCTGTGGAAGATGTTGTAATATGACCGTGAGTCCTATATGTAAATTTATTGTGAAAAATGTCCTCTATATTGATTAGGGGAAACGTCAAGTTCAAAAATAAAAATGTTTGTTAAAACGAGATATTTTACAGAGCATTTTGAATGCGCAGATTCATCAGTGACATGCATCTCACACTTGTTATGATTGAATTTCTAAAGTTACAGTTTCTAGGAACGCTGGTTCAAGTGATCGAACGATCAGTGAGGAATCTGGACTAATTATTTTCCAAAATTAACAGTTTTTAATCATAATATTCGATCATACAAAACAGCAGACCTTTAGATTTTCTTAAAATTACGGATTTTTTTTGCACAATCGACATTTTTAACTTTGACAAATTTTTAATGAAACATGGTTATGATTAAGAGTTATACCATTCAAAAAAAAAAGTTATACGAACATACTGACCAGTTAATAACACAGTTATAAAGCTTGCGTAATCCTTGGTTTTACATATCCGTTCGGGGATATGAGAAAACAGTCTGTCGTTTGTTTATACATAGTCACTGTTACAACTTCATATTTATATTGTGTTAGGTCAGTGTTCCACAGGCAATAAAACTTTTTCATTATAAATCTCACTAGATTTATTAGTATTTTAGCATAATATCATGAAGCAGATTATTTTCATGGTACTTGTACAATGATTCTGAAATCAAGATCGAATAAATGCATCCTTAATTGAAAAAAATATATAAAAATATATTTGAGCATCGAATCTTACTGCTTACCAATACGGTATAAATTGATTTTTCTTGTTTCACGATAATTGATTAACTGAACTAAGATTTTTGCTGATTTGTGCTTATCTCAAAATGATCTTTGACCAGAAAATCATTGATGTACTTTATTTCTTTAAATAATTTACAATCAAATAAACACGATCCACTTACGTGTATATGTTGCATCTGAGTATTTAATGGGTTTTCATTGTTCAAAGATCCTTACTTGAAATTTAACTGATAAATCTTTGCGATCTTATGCCTGAAAAGTTATCGATTTATAGTAAGTAAATATTGGGTTCGTCACTTAGTCGATAAACGCGAACGAGACAATTACCAGCGTCCAGGTAGGCTACCTTGAATCCAAACGGTAAAACAGAAGTCTTGGTAAGCGTAGAAAGTATATTCTACAAACACCCAGCAATCACAACACAATCAAGCACACATCTCTCGTTTATTTATACATCATAGAAACGTCCTTGGGACAGTTAAGAAAATAGCACACTAAAATACACAGCAGCCAATCACAGCCATGGATTTTCCTGGTGGGAATTGAAATCTCAAGGCCAACTGATCAGACCGTGCTGGCAAACGTGAAAACCAAAATAAGGCATTTAACAAGCGAGTTTTGAGGGTCTAACATCCCCAACAGTAAACTCTAAATAATTAAAGAAATTTTCCTTAATGATAGTTCTTGTTTTTAATGTTAGTTTTGTCATTTCAATCAAGCAATCGATAAACTCTGCTTAAACAGTCTTGCCTTAATTAAGATTGTAACAATAAACTTAGAGTAAGTAATTATTCGAATACTTACATGACACTATGTATTTGGGTTAGATCGTTCGAATGTTTTTTTAAATGTTTACACTCAGTTTGTGGTTATTAGCTATTTTACCAGTCAATTAACCACTAATGCTTAATAAATAATGACGCTTTACAATACCTGATTTCTATCGGGTATACAGATCTGTAGCATGCACTTCCTACAACAAACAAAATATCGAGATGCAATTTTTTATAAACCAGTCACTTCGCGCACTTGGATTGTTTTACTGAATATAAATTCTAGAGGCTTCCAGTATATATATATATATATATATATATATATATATATGAGAGGAGAAACTGTTTGCTCATTGGTAGAATATTTTGGTGAAAATCATTCGATTCCTAATAACACAATGGAGATAATGGGATGGTGGTACTATTTTGTTAAGTCTCACTACTCTCATGAAAATGCCAGGTTTTTAATTGTTACTGCTCCCATAAGAGTAGCTGGACTAAAAAATCGTGTTGAAATACTTAAGCTTGTTTGATTTTTTCCTCATTCTATCGGTGATAGTTCGATGAAGAAATCGACAAACGACTGGATTGTTTGTATTTACCAATCTAATCAATCGAATCTATCTTATTTTATCAGAAAACTGATATTTGTAAAATGATCCATACATGGCCTGGTTTCAAAAAGGCAAATAAATAATTACTTGTTTAACATTTCAACTGAATAGACTGCAAAAAAAGATTTAACACAAACAATCCATTCATTAATTCTTCAGCGAAACTACTTTTGAAAAAAGCATGCACAATAGAATAATAGTAATAATAAGAGATTTAATAATTAATATCTATTTGAATCTGTTTATTCGCATCGACCTAGTCATAAATATATACATAATACACTGTAATATGTTATTTTCAGACGCCTGTTAACCTATTTTGGCATAATTTGCCACTAATTAAACTTGTAAACATGGTCATTTTGTCTCATCTGACGAGCATAGTGTACACATTTGTTAATTATTATGATTACCATGATTATTATAGAATCAATAGAACTTTTTCCGTGTTTCTTGAATTGGTTCGGTTTATAATTGAAATTCATCTTTTTGAAACTAACTTTGTGTACACGTCCAAGTTTTCTTGGTTTAGCGATAAACGATAAACTAAGCAAAAAAAACAACACATATGATTATTTTCATGTGTAAATATTCATTATTCTATAGTAACCAAATATGTTTAATTAGTTTATTGTGATCACTAAGCACACAGGCACACACAATGACCCTCATGTAAAAATGTATAGTTCAACAAATGAATGAATCAAAACAAAATATCTGAAAAATAAAGGAAAATAAAATTTTCTAGATGAATCAATATCCATGTATGTGTACTCGTCAAAACAAACAAAACCAAACTGACTTAATGTAGGGTATATAAAAATGCAAAAGAGAAATAAGATATGTGGTTAGAATCATTTCTACGAATATATGTGTCTAGTTTGAGGAAAACTTTTAACAGTTTTGGAGTGTAATAATTTCTCACTTTCATATGACTGAAGTTTTATTGATTAAACTATTGAAGTTCAACTCAGTTAAGCTGTAATACTAATCTCACTTAGAGCCATAAAACTCATGAGACTACATAATCTGTCCTCAACTCACAAGAAAGTTCTCGTACATCCTGGAACCCTTCTTGTGACACATTTTTATATCATATGCGTCTTAATGAGGGTTACACAAACATTCTTACCAAAGCACTTCTCAGACTGCTTCGTTCCGAGATAAATATGCGTTAATGATTGCCAAATAAATTTGTTTCTGTAGGAAGCATTCTCACAATTCACTGAAGTACATACTTTGTAATGAGATCTGTCAGATTTAGACAAACATACACAATTTGAGGTGATACTAGCTGGAATTTCTTCTCAATAGTTTATCACTCTTGTATTGCAAATATTGAAAAGTTTATTTTACCAGAGTTCTTTGAATAAATACTGAGAGTGCGATGATAATTTTAGAGTCGAGAAATGTTTCCAAAAGGGTATTTTGTTAAATTCCGTTGCAAGTTATTTTTTTAACAAGAGTATGCAATTCATGATTAGTCAATAATATATTCTTTATATCAACACTAAAAAGCAGTAAGCCTAAAACACTTAAAAAAAGTCTGAATACTGAAAGTAAATACTAATTGACCACTAAACTTTTGTTATACCTAACATTTTGTATTAATCCTACTTAAAAATATAATTTATGACTAGGTATGGTCGTAATGCTTTTATTGATTTGCTCTTATTATCAATTTATCATTATACAATTATGTAAATCGTTGTTTTACATTGAAATGGCGGATCACTCATTTTTAGACCACCATCAGTAACCTGAAAGTACTGGACGACTGTTTCGTCCTAGTATGGGTCTCATGAGCGGTGCGCATCCACGACTCCCACCACTCGCAGGATTCGTATCCAGGACCTTAGGTTTTGCACACAAGCGCTTAACCCCTCATACCAATTATCCGGTATCCAACAGTATTATTGTCTAACTCTTACCAATCTAAGGATTTTGCGCAACTTCACCCACTATCTTCGGTAGTTACTGAGTACGTCCGACAGGGTTGAACTCCACTGTTCATACCTACTCACTAGAACTCCGAAAATTTCCTCACGAAGTTAGCCACTAGCGAGCACATTTTATGATTTTTCGTTATAGAGTTGTTTTTAAGTGACTGACTCACGATTTCAATGTATTATCAATTTAGTCCAAGATAGTGATTCTAGAGTGGGGATAAACTTCACGTTGTCGTTGCATCTAAAAGTATTATAGTCGGTAGTAACGACAGTGTTTTCGTCCGTTTAGTCATTAAATTTTACATACTTTGGAATGATCTTTGTCATAGAATTAGTTGCAGACTTGTCTTTCGCTATATTGTAGCTTTCCTTTCATCATAACCGACTGAATTACACGTAATACAACCGTAGCAGGATGGAGTGATATTTCTTAACTTAGAAAACGTTTCATTGTGCATAGCCATCTGTAAACAAATCTTTAGTGAGTACTGTGAATAGTGGAAGCTTTCAGGTGACAGTAATAATTATTATTAGTTAATTCCATAAATCAATATAGAACACACTATTTATCATGTACGTAGGAGGATGTTAGAACAACTTCATATTCACTGTCTACCAGATTTTCAGTGTATGTTACGATCATTAACATTATAATCCAATACCGGCTCAGTGGTCCAGAGGTTAGGCGTTCGTGAGGAAGACCGAAGGTCCTAGGTTCGAATCCTGCGAGGTGCAGGAGTCGTGGATGCGCACTGCTGACGAGTCCCATACCAAGACGAGATGGCCGTCCAATGCTTCCAGGTTTCTAATGATGGTCTAACATTGATCGATTCGTGACTTCAATCCAATAATTAACAAATGTATCCACAAAAACTTCCATCATATTTGCTCCACCACATCTCACGATTCGGAATGATGAGGAATTTCAGTCTCCGTTTGGGCTTTTTTTGACTCACTCCCTAATGCTGCTGACTTGATTCACCTTGATTCATCCAAATTAATCTTTCTTTTTCCACCTTTGTGTATGATACTAAAGCGTTTCACGCTTCATTATTAACATTATTCACCACGTCTACTTTGTTTATTTATCTGATATAAAGAATAATTTATCCACAATTACCAAATGCATATCAAAGTGAATCAACTTTCATTTTTATTCAATCCTCTGTGTTGTATTCAACAAAATGATCTGAAATCAATTTTTCTCGAAGTACTGCAACACAATAGAAATTTTATCTATGCATCAAAAACAAACCTAAACACTTCTTTTTTTGTATTGCATAAGTAGAGAGAAGCAAAAATACACACATACACACATACAAACAATACAAGTTGCTTTCTAAAGAAGCATAACAAAACACCATAACAAACAGTCATTAGATCCCTTGCTTCGATTTGTTTTATTTTTTTTTCATTTCTTCATTAAATTTTCTTAAGGTGTGTGCGTGTGTGTGTTCTTCACACAGAGAAAAAAACATCTCATCTCTAAACAGTTGCAAACCAAAAAAAATGCTTGAATTTTGTTATGTAAAATGAAATTATCAACAATAAGATGAGATAAAATGAATCCTGAGGCAGCAATAAGTCACTACTAACTGAGTTCAGATAGAATATAATAAAAATGGACGAAAACAAACAGTGTGTGTGAGAGAGAGATTTATGCTACAAATATAAACGTCACAGTAAACAGAACTGAATAAACAATAGACTGAAAAGTAAATATCTCGAAATCACTAAATCATTCACTATATGTGGTATATTGATAAGAATCGTAAAAGCCAAGTAAGTATAATACATAGGTGACCGAGTTTTTAAATATGCCTGCTTTGCGGATTACGGTATCCCATACAATAATTACTAGAGTAAATAATCATTCACTTTTTTTCTTGTGGTTTTCTCTACAGTTTGATGTGATCTATGACCTGAATGACCAACATAACAAATTGTTTTAATTTGTAAACACACGAACTTTTGTACATTGTGACTGAATTTTTAATCCAGGATTAGAATTAGACCGTTGTAGTGATGAGATTTGAAAAAAATTTCACCATACGTTATAAATAAGAGTTTTCCAATGTGCTGGTGACCGGAATTTAAGCTAAACAAATCTCATGTTAATGAGTTTGTAAATATGCATGTGTGGCTCTATGATAACTGATGACCTGAAGATGAGACAATGGTGGTCACATAGTTATTTACATAGTTATTTATTATTGATTAATGAATTAATATATTAGTGTCCAGAATGTGATCACTGTCATCATTTCTGGAAAGAGACAGGAGAGTATTTTTTTCTTTCCCAATTCCAGCCACTCCTTTAAATTTACCATGCACAATGGATAGAGAAAGTGAACTCTGATTAAGCGAATCAACTAATAATTGTTTACAATTTATTATTATTATTATTATTGTTTTAATTGTACCAGTATTCGCTTTCACATTAACTCCTTTGTATTGCGTTCTTTTGGTTTCATTTCACTATTTGCTTACATCATTGCTGCGTTTCTCTAACAAATTACATTGATTTTTATAGGTTATTTTTGTTATTAACGTTTTTTCCTATCATTTCAAAGTGATCAGTCAATCATAATGTAAATAATAACACAATAAGCATATTCCATGCACTAACTCATCTTGTGTTCATCAATCAGTTCATTATAACCTATTTTAAGGAATTTCTGTCATGAAATTTTTTTCATTAATTAATTTATTATTGATAATTTATTGATCGAATTGAGAATAGGTATTTTAAAAAAGAAAAAAGTAACAATGGTATAACAAACATACCTTAACACTTTGAGTTGTAGACAGTAATTGCTTGAATTTGATTGGTGAAGATTTAAAGCCTCATTGAAAAGTATTTTTTAACAAACTGTATCTATATTTACATGGCAAAAATGCATGAAGTCACTGACAAGTGGACTGAGTCATGTTGGTAGATGTAGGCTATCTGGTTGGGGTCCGCGAGACGTTAGTCACCGATGGTTAGAGACCTTGAACGACATGGGTCAGAATCGTTTGCAATCGCGCAGGTGCATCCACTCTTTGTGTGCTTTTTAATTCTAACCTTCTGAATTCCCCATAATCTCTATCTTTCTCCTTCTAAGTTGATCTCACTGAATTATACTTCTCGAATCATATCTTCACCCCTTACTGCTAATACTTCTATCGCTATAACTCTTGGATTTGAACTGACAGTTATGTCTCTGTGCTGACGTGGTATGGCAACCTGAACTGATGTACTTATGTACGAAGTTCTGCGTTGTATCTGTGTCTGTCATATATTTAATGAGAATAAAATTTGTCTATCTGTTCTGTGTTTGTTTACTCATATGTGCCTGTATTAAACTAGGCGTTAAGTAAATTGTTTGTGGACAAAACCTGGTGTATTAAACGGTAAACACTCCATTTCCAAAGCGTAAATGTTCCAATCAATATTTATTCAGTAACTGAGACATTATATCACTCGATAATCCAGCATTTATTTAAATATTGTAAACAGTAATGATTGTTTTAAGCAATAGAATCAATAGGCTACCTGTACATATGTTACATTTCAGATTATTATTATTGTTATTATTATTATTATTATTACTAGTCACTGGCAATTTTTTTTCGTGACTGATGAGTTTTATTTTTGTAATCTACCCCTCTTATCTTTTAGCTGATCATACTTTTAGTAACAGCAATTATATTATGGTCAGCTATTGCATGTCTAGTTAGTTATCCAGTCGTCAGTATTGCACTTTTGTTATATCGAAATGACGGACCGAATAGATTACGACTAGCCTCGGTGGAACAATTAAACGCAGCTTTTCATGATAATCAAGTGAATTTTCTTGATCCAAGCAATAGTTATACACGTGAAATGTTAACTTTTAAAAGTAAAACACTTAAACGACGTGACACGGAAGAATGGTTTTCTAGTCATCCTAGTGATTTGGATAATACAGCTGAAAATGCCATGGCTACAACAAATGATCATCTTCAAACAGATTCATTTAATTTCAGTAAAGATTTAACAGCTACAGCAGCTAGTCCAAAAATGGTTGATCAACCACCGCCTGTAATTAGTTCATTTGACAATAAACAATTATCTTCGAAAATTTTATCAGAAAACAATTTAAAACAATCAATCAATAGTGCACTTAGTGTTTCCGAGTCAATCAAATTATTTTATCAATGTAGTCAAGAGACATTGGATTTATCTTATTATGGTAAGATAAATTTGATTATATTAAAAATAAGCATTATTATTTTATACATTTTAATAATTTCTACTTGAATTCAATGAGTTGATTTCATTAGCATTAAACATTCAATAAACAGTAGATCTATGTATGTATGTATATTCAGCCAGACAGCAACAACGTAGAACTTGCTCCATACGTACATCAGTTAGCATAGCATTTTAACACAGAGAGATAAAATTGCATGTTCAAACTCCATAGTGGTAGAGTTGGTCGAAGTATTAGCGGTAATCGAAAAGATTATGGATCGAAGATAAGATTCAAGAAGTATGATAAGCACTCAAAACCATCAAAACATTATTGTTCCAATTACCGAAATAGTCAATCAGTTGAAGTGTAGAACTTAGTACGTACGTACATTAGGTCAAGTTACCATACCACGTTAACGCACACAGATGGCACTGTCTGTTGAAATCCCGTAGTAGTAGAGGTTGTAGCTGTATTAGCAATGATCGAAACGATTATGGACCGACGATATGATTTGAGAAGTATGTCCCAGTTAAAAACAGTTTAAAAAGAGAAAAAGGGTTATGAGGAATTCAGAAGATTAGAATTCGAGAGAACACAAATGATTTTGAGTTATTTTATTCAAAGTGTCTAACCGTCGGTTACGATTGTCTCCCTAAGCCTAACCAAGTAGTCTTCACCTACCAACATAGGCTCAGTCCGATATTTTATATATTAAGATCTTTTTAGTCATGCAGCGACATCAACTTGAAATAAATTGAAGCGCAAAATAGTTCTTCCATTTTCGTTCAGAATAAACTGTCTCTAAACTGAATAACTACACATAAAACCACTTATCTGATCGTGAATTTTATGCTTATTATTGTGATTAGTATATAATAGTAGAGAAGGGAAACAGATAAATTCGAATAGTATTTCAATAACGAATTTATTGCATTAATTCACGATATTTCGCACTTTAAAACACGCCACTTAAAATAACAAGAAAAACAGTTTGATTTTGTTTCCTTTTACGTTTTTTTTCATTTTGTGTTTACTTTGATGAATGAAAACGAAAGAGGATGTAAGTTTTGAAATAAACCATACACTTTTTGTTACAAAAATAAGGATGAAAGACTTCTTCTTTCATTCCATTGTCGATTAGTGTGTGTGTGTATGTAAGTAAAAGACAAATTGAAGAAATGTTCAGTTCAATTAATTCTTTTGAAATTTTATACAATTCACGTCAATCTACATTAGAAACAAATAGGTGAAGTAAAGTTTTGTTTTGTTTTTCTCTTGAAATGAATGTTTGTTTGAATGTTTTGTTGCTTGGTTACTGAAACTTATAGAGATGAAATTGTTTATGCTGAAGTCTATCCAAATCATATTGTAGTTCTGAAATGGTGAAATGCTAATTTCCTAGCTAATTATTAGACCGTGTTAATCTTCAACGCTTTAGCTCTGATTGAAAAGCCAGAAATTGGAAATATGAATAAAAATATTTATGGGATTTATTTAATTTCCACAAAATAAGAGCAAATTTATCAGCAACCTTGTTTTGGCTAAACATATGTATATAGAACTATTAAGATTCATAAATAATTTAGTAGTTAAGCAGTTACATTGAAATTAATATTGAATAGTGTACGACTTTCTGGTAGACTTTTTGAATGATTACAAATATCTCATAGTTTCAGTAATTCGACATAATGTCAGACATAACTTGTAACTAGTTATCAGAATAAATTTATTTTATCACTAAATTATTATGTGCAGTTTTTTTTTGTTTAAATAAAGTCCTTGAACAAACAATTTGAGATTAAGCGAAAACTATTCATTTTATCAGTCTTCTTTCCACATTCATCAAATAATCAAATTTATTATCATAATAAAGTAGTTTTCAAAAAATATTACATCATGAGAAAGACTATAATTCATTCACAAATGAAACAGAGCAAATGAGGATTGTACAATTTCTGATGAACACTGGTCTAGTAAATAATAGGAGAACAAAATTTTGGTTGGATTCCAATAATGAAACCATAATCACACGTGAAAAAAAGATGGCTTCATAATATTTTAGTCTTGAAAAAATTAGCGAATATATATTGCTTTTCATTTAAGGCAAATAACTCTTATGGAAATCCCAATAAAACTAGTGTAGTGAAAACTAATTTAGATACCAGATGCAAAGTTGTTGAAGTCTAGGTACACTGAGCACCTGTCCCCAGTTCATTTTGTACTTACTTATAGTGAACATACAAAACTTTACACGGTGTTGATCTTCTAGTGAAACGATACAAATATTTATTGATCACTCATGTCCAATATTTTAAATTAGCAACTATGCATTAATTTTTTCGTAAGTATATTTTTTAAGCATTTTAACCATTTAATCAAGTCATTATGATGCCTTATTGCATATTTTCTGCATTACTGATTGACATTTGCATGATAGGATTGTGGAGTTTGTTGAATTACTTCTTTGAAATCATCAATCGATCAGTTTTAAACCACCATTAGAAACCTGGAAGCATTGGACGACCGTTTCGTCCTGGTGTGGAACTCATTGGCAGTATACATCCACGACCCCTGCAACTTGTAGGATTCGAACCTAGGACCTCCGGTCTTGCGCGCGAACGCTTAACCTCCGGACCACTGAGCCGGCATCTATTGATGTTATTATCTAACTTCAATCAACCCACGGTCTTGCACAATCTTATCTACTGTCTTCGATGAGCACTGCTTTACACCCGAAGAGGGTTGAACTTCTCCACTGGTAGCGACTTCTCATTAGAACTCAAAGAAACTTGCTCAGGGAGCTAGTCAATAGTGAACGCTTGACAATTTGGATCATAGGGTTGTGGAGATTGTTGAAGTACTTTTTTGAAATCATGCATCGATCAATGTTATAAAAACATCAGAAACCTGAAGGCACTGAATAACCTTTTCCACCTGGTGGCGGGGATCGTGGATGCTCAGTGCTGATGAGTCCCATATCAGGACGAAACGACCGTCCAGCAGTGCTTCCAAGTTTCCAATGGTGATCTAACATTAATCAATTTATTATTTACATTTATGATAATTGTTTTTGGACTATTTTTTTACGTATGTTTTTTAAATTCACCAATCAAGATCTGTTTCCTCTGCGAAAAAAAAAACAACAGTTGAATGGTTTAAAATTAAAAATGTTTTAGTCCCCATTTCTCTTAACCTTAGCTTTCTTTGCGTTATACTTTCAGAAAATGAACTTAGTCAATTCTTTTTTCGTTATCTTATTATTGATATATATTTTAAAACTAACAGTCAAAATTAAATCGAATAAGTTTTTTTAAAGTTTCCTCAAATGATCTAAGTATTATGACGCAAATTATCTAAGATATCTAATTTTCAATAGTTGATTTTCATTAAAACCGATCAATTTCTCATTATTGTTATTTATTATCTAACTAGTCTATTATTGTATGCGCTTCAATAAATATAGTCTTTCTTTTTTCAAACAGGTCTATACGATGCCAATGGTCTGCCGATACATATTCCACGTGCTAATTTTCCTGAAAGAATCCGTGATATTTTGGTCTGTGTAATTCTTGCTATCGCTGGTGTATTCCTACTACTATTCGGTTATGTAAGTGTGAATGAATGTTGAGAAAAAACTAATTCAACTTCATGGTGAAATCATGAATAAAATGTTCAAATGAATAAATTAAGTACCGTATACATACAGATATAAGAAATAAGAATTCTTAATTCTTCAAACAACGCTGTAACATCTGCTATCAGTTATTATTTATAAGTAGTAAATTAAGTTAATCTTATGATAAAAAGATATTATTTATTCGTAAGACAGTAACCGTCTGACCAAGGAATTTGTTTTATTGGGAAACATTCTATTGTCCATGAATTTAAAGATGATATATAATCCTTATTTAAATATGACTTATCTATCACGTAATCAACAGATCATGCTACATCTTCACATTTCTAAACACATTGAAATAGAAAAAAAAAGTCAGAAAGCTAAGTGAATGGTCATAAGTATCGTTTATTATTTAGTCACATAATTCACATCATAATACAACACTAAAATTAATAAATTTTCACTAAACATTGATAATTGACATTAATTTGTAGACAGTAGACGAAAGGATAAACTAACTGAAATTATCATAGAATAGCTAATCCATGGTTCATACTTTCTTATGATTGATGAATTATTTAGTTTCCATTAGTGAGTGAACTGATCAATTCCTCTCTCTCTCTCTCTCTGTCTCTTACTAACACACATAGATATTACTTACTTACTTACGCCTGTTACCCTCAATGGAGCATAGGCCACCGACCAGTATCCTCCAGCCTACTCTGTTTCTGGGCTTTACTTTCCAGTTCTGCCCAATTTTTGTTCATTCTTCTCATGTCTGTCTCCATTTCCCGGCGTAATGTGTTCATTGGACTTCCTCTTTTTCTTTGTCCTTGAGGTTTCTAAGGGATGGCTTGTCTTGTGATGCTTTACGCAGTGTGTGTCCTATTCACTTCCAGTGCTTCTTCCTGATTTCCTCCTCCGTTGGAATCTGGTTTGTTCTTTCTCACAGTAGATCGTTTCTGATGGTGTCTAGCCAACGGATATGAACTAACTAAAAAACTATAACACGCATGGATATATGTCGATTTATCCACTGATAATGTGATTGGTGACAGTATTTAAAAAAAGAAAGAAACAATTGTTTTTAAATGTTGCAAACTATAATAAACATATAAATTACCACTAACCACCAATCGATAATGATACTAATAAACGAATCTGAAAATATTTCTATTTCATCTGTAACAATGACAAATGACATCTCCCAACAAAAATAAACAAACATAACATGACTTGTCGTGTGTGTATTTCATCAAACTTCTATGAGTACCGCCTTAATTTTAGATGACTAAAATACACTGAAATAAAGAAAAGGCAAATAACATGATTTCTAAGATTATTAAGCTTAGTGAATAAGAAAAACAACACAATAATTGTATAAGTGAATTAGGTGTGTTTTCATTGTGATGTTACTTTTAAATTAATTAACAACATACTTACTTGCCTAACAGGATACAAATAGTATGAGTTTTTAAATGACTGATCTTTATTTACCACATTACAGTAAATATTTTCTTTAATTATAATGTTCATTATCAGGATTAACTAATATCAAATTTTGATAGAACATTTTCAATTAGAGTTATGGAGATTAGTGTTTTTACACATTTGAAATCATCAATCAATCATTGTTAGACCACCATTAGAGGCCTGGAAGCACTGGACGGCCGTTTCGTCCTGGTACGGGGCCCATCAGCAGTGCGCATCCATGACTCCTGCACCTCGCAGGAAACGAACCCGGGACCTTCGGTATAGTGCGCGAACGCCTAACCATTGGACCACTAGGCCGTTAGACAGAGCAATAAGAAGATGTAATTGATGTGAAAAATGTGATGTATTTGCGCTACGTATTTCGAACAGACTGGTCACACATTTACTTATCAAGGCATTTTATATGACCATTAATAAAAGGTCAATTCAATAAAAGTTCAAGTAGACACAAGGTGAAAAGAATTAGAAAGGTAGGAAGTTGTCACATTACACTAGGCTTAACGATTACCAGGGTAAATTCAAGGTTATGACAAATGGTTTCTGCACACATAAGGTGGGTTTTAATTTACGAATAGCCAAGGCCTCCATAAACCTCAACATTTGTTATTCAACATTTCTATACAATCTTTCGAAAGCTGTCTCGATGTCAATCATATGCCCTGTCTCAATTATGTGTTTTGTGATCGATAAATAAGGTTTTCTATTTCCCTAGTTTATCGGCTCATCTGACGTTAACTGATTTTGAAGCCACTTAGGTACATGCACCTAAGAATTTCACGTTATCAGACGAAGTTTATCATTCAATAAACTGATAAAAATATTAATTCTGATTTTTAACAAATTGAATTGACCGTCAATAAAATTACCACAGAGATAAAAATATCAATGATTTCTACTGTCCAAAATAAATACAAGTTAAAACAATTCTATCTATTTAAACAAATATAAGATTTGTTTGTTTGTTTGTTTACACGTATTTATCTCTTTCTCAGATACAAATAATTATTTGCACCGCAATGAATTATGCTCGAATGCAAGAGGCCAGATATTATGAAACATCGGATATCGGTGAAGAAGGCATGGCTCTACAACAATAAATGTGTTTTTCTTCCGTAACATTATTATACAATTCCAATTAATCGTAATTTCACAGTCGAAATATCTTCTACTCTTCATATATATAAATATATATACATATATACAATTATGTACAACAGTATAAGTGAATACACACACACACATAGGAAATTTTGGAAATTCGGACATTGTATATTTATTCAAATAAAATTAGTATTCATTTCAAAGTATTTATTGCACAATAACGCCACAAACACTTCCAAAAGGCAGTTTACCAAAAAATAAAGTATTACACATATGTTTTCGAACAATAATAATAATAATAATAATAATAATCTTTTTTTATCACTCATTCAAGTGATATCCTGTTATTTTCATTCAGTTTTATCCTTTTTCATTCGTAAATTCATCATCTTTATTCACACGTTGTTGTTTGTTTTTTCCCAATGATTGTGTTGTCGCTTGAGTTTTTTCTTTTTTTTGACAAACGTCCAATTGACGACAGCAAAACAAAAAAAACCCTTTTATTTATCATCTTTTTTTTCTGTGCCCTTTTCATTACTTCCCCGATTTCATTTTATTGTGTCCTTCATCATTCTTCGAATAAAAAAAACAAACATATTTTTAAGTTTTTTCGAAAAGATACACGATCCATTTTGAATTGTTTCAATTTCAATTTTTAATTTTATCTCAATGAAAATCAATAAGAGAATAAATATTTTAATGATGATAACTGAATTTTCAAAATAATTGCATTTCCACTTTTTTCTTTTTTCGTAATAACTCAAACTGTGTTGTTTTGCTTTATTTTTGTTGATTTAAATAGTCAATAATAATAATAATAGTACAGTAGCGGACACATGCACATAAAGCTTCCTTTAAATATAACGTTGATATATATTTTTATATATAGTAAACATCTGTTTTATTTTATACCTCTTTCCCTCTCTCTCTCACTCTCTTGCTCTCTCTCTCTCTCAGTGTGTTACTCATTCATTGACGCGCACAATTGGTTGACGACAATTCGTAATTACATAATTTGTGTCGATCATTAATGCGTGAATTTTCATGATCTACAGTTTTTTGCTTTTGCTTTTGCTTTTACATTATTTTGGCATACAAACTAATCATACTTAACCGATGAATGTTTAATCATTGATTTAACTTTGATGATGGAATTAAAAAATATGCATGAAGTTTTACTTTATACCAACCATTTGTCATTCCTTTTTTTCTGTGGTTTTTTTAAATCTGTTTGTTTTAATGAATCATTTTTTTTTCATAAATTTCTCTTGTTTTTTTTATAAGAATATTATTACTACCAAGCATAACAATAATAATAATAATGATAAGTAACAGTTCTATTGTTTGTTCTAAATATTATTTTTTATTCTATATTAGCTGGTTGCAGGATGTTGAATCCGATCGAGGCCTAGGTTGAGGCACTAGTTTTTACCAATCACAAATCTTCATTTTTGAAGGAATTTTGTGTTTTTGTGAGTTACGAAGCCTCATCACCCAGTGTAGCTCAGATGTGTTTCCACTGAGCTGCTTAGAGCGTAAATGACTTCCGGTAAGACTGAGTTATTCTCATTTAAGTGACTAATGTATATTATATACCGGTCAAAAGCCTGACTCACAACTCAATATGGCCTGAGAATAGTAAACCATAGTCAAATGAACTAATGTGCGCAGCTACTTGGAGATCGGACTCATTCAAAGTTACGGTGAAAACGTTTTAGTGAAGCGTATCCACGAACAGAATGAATCCAATACAGTTTCTATCCCTAACGAAAACCATTTGATTTAGTTCATATAAGTAAAATGATTTGTTTTTACACACTATATATATAGAGTACTTTTACGTCACAGACATATGACGTGTTAAAAGGGGAAGTACAATTAAAACTCTAGATATAGTAAATTTTCCCATGGGAGGGTATGCGTTCCGGCTGACCTTGTGGGACAAACTCGATCTTTAGCTTCATTTGGGGTCTGAGGGCTCCGATCGAATGTATCAGCGCAAGACGGTTGGAATGGCTGCTGGTTAGTGCACTGCTGGGTGGCTCGGTAATTCGTTTGGGGCGCCAGGTCTAGCTGGAAAACCCGCTTTGCCGATTGGAGATTGTGGGTAGTGGATTGGTTGGGGGGATCTTGTTGGTTCATAAGTGCCCGAACGGGGGCCACTGCTCATGCGCGTCCTTTTTGAACGTCCACTTGTCTGCAGACCAATCTGGACAACATGTATGTTCCCGTATGGGGCAGGGGTGATCGCAATATTGGCTCTTGTGAGAATCCTTGTGTTGCTTAAAATACAGTGGTGTGCATGTGTAGCAGGCATGCTGGTTAACCAAGAATACAGTAACTTATATAGATGATTGTGTCTATGTTCAGTGATGTACTAAGAAGAAAAAAATTTGATTAATACAAATTAAAAACGATACTAAATCTGCTCGTTTCGTTTTAGTTAATCAAGTGCCCCAAAGGATTATGGATGTTATTTATTATGTTGAAAATCGCGTTGAAAAAATATTGTTTGATGATAAGAGGCTTAGTCACTTTACTTTTCTAACAAACCACTTCTCTAATCTGCTATCTAGGAGCCACCATGAAAGCAGGACATTACTTCATTTCTTTAAAGCTTCCTGTTAACATTCACTTAATGTTAAGAGGAATTATTTTGTTATCCAACTCGAATTCCTTTCCTGAAACGTATGAATTAGGTCTGTCTCTCATATCCGAATTTCACATTTGAACATTCTCCTACAAGCTTATAGTTTTCACTTTCAAAACTTCTATGTATTTACATTTGGAATCATATCTCTATGGTTATTATACATACTCTTTTGTACAACTGATAGTATGTCGTTAAGTTTTGTACATGGACAATTGTTGTTTTGCAAATAAAAATTTTTTGTAAATTTATCTGTTTGTTCATAATATTGATATCATGTTGTTTGAGAAGCCAAATTATAAATTTATTTTTTATTATGCATACAGAACAATCACGTTTTATTTATTTTATTCTTGTGAAATTCTTGGGTTGGGATTAGTTAGTTAGTTAGTTGGACATTTATCAATGAAACTTAGGAATATTTCATAGAGTTGATTTCTTCACTTTCCCTGTTATACTTTAGTTAACTTTCAATCGTCTATTGTTTATTATCTGTTACAATTTCCTTTCTTTTTGGAACTGGTAATGTCATTTTACACGTTATTGTTCATTTTCCGGCTGTTTTCTCACGTGATTATGAATATAACAATTAATTACAATTGTTTTAACAAATTCAATTCAATTCAATTTAGTCTCTAAATTTAAAATAGATGTATGATGTCTACCAAGCTTGATATTTAAAACTTCGTTAGTATATACTTAACTGACTTTTCGAAAGTCTAAGACTGAAATAAAATTGAAACGAATCTCGCTCTCACTAACGTCTAATCAAAGGTTTTAGTTCATTCTTCACAGGCTGAAACGACGATCATTTAAGTTGATGTATTAAAGTTTTGGAAAAAATTTTGATTAAGAAAAATAAAATTATATTTTTAGAAAAATGTTTATCTTGTTTCTTCTGAGTGTGTGATATCATTCAACAAATAATTATTCAGTGTAATTCATGTACCAGTTATCCTATAATCTACAGTGCTTTAACATGAACATTTAACGTCTTTCAATCCCAAATAATATAGTGTGATAAGTACTCCAAGTCATCAAAACATTATTGTTCCAATTACTAAAACAGGCAATCAGTCGAAGTTTAGAATATGGTACGTACGTATATTAGTTCAAGTTACTATACCACGTTAACGTACAGAAACGCAATTTTCACTTCAAATCCCATAGTAGTAGAGATCGTAACCGTATTAGCGATGATCGAAACTCTTATGGACCGATGATATGATTCGAGAAGTATGTCCCACTTAAAAGCAGTTGAAAAAGCAAAACAGTCATGAGAAATTCAGAAGATTAGGATTTTAGAAAAAAGAACTGGTGTACCTGCAAACGATTTTGAGTCATGCCATTCAAGGTCTCTAACCATCGGTTACTATCATCTCGCGGACCCCAACCAGATAGATAGTCTACACCTACTAACATAACTCAGTCCAGGTGTCAATGATTTCATAAACTTATCACATGTTCTAGGTCGACCACCTCTAGCATTCTTCTAGCCTACTCCTAAATCGCGAAAAATCGCTTTTCAGATTACTCGGTGGTTAGGCATTCGTGAACTATGTCTCAACCACGTCAACTGACGAAGTTTCACTACTTCAGCTTCTGATCTGTCATCTTTGCCTAGTACTAGTTTCCTAACACCAGCATTGCTTACTTGATATTACACAAGCAATGCTCCGAAGTCACTGATGATCGAATACTAGTAACCTAAAGATGTCATCTATTAAAAAAACAAGGATTTCTATTTTATCATCATCAACAGTTCAAACCACCCTAATTACACCTAGCACACCTCTGATTAATATTCCAACCATTCAGTGAAGTATCCAAAATAATGATTACTACTAATTTATGTCAGTTAGAGAATTATTAAAATGAACTGATTACGAATAGGTTGCTTTGTAACAGTGTAAAGGCACTTCTATGCAGTACTCATGCATAATACAACACGGGATAGAATAAACAACATACACAGTTGTAGAAGAGCAAGGTACTTATTGGTCAATGATTCACATATCTAATTGGTGACACTGATTAAGCTGTAATTCTTTGAAAATATTTTCAAACGGTCTAAAAGCGTTTCTTTTGGTTGAATGATACTCATTGGAAAATTTGTTCTTTAATCATTTGTCAACCATATTTTGCTTACTCTTCAAGATATTTTATCGTGTCTTTAATGATGAATTAATTTATCAGACAAGAGAATACCTATCGTATAATAATAATTCAATGACTGGTTTTACACAGAAAGTAGACATACCATTTTATTCGCATCCTAGTCCACTTGCATAAGTTAAGTTATTTCTCAGTAAAAGTTCCAACAAACGGTCTACTTATTTTGAACTAGTTTCATGATATACGCTATTCAAATTAAAAGCATGAATTAAATGTGAAAATATTTTATTCTAAAGGTTAGAGACATTTCTATCCTCATCTATATCAATAATATCCTTATTTTCATAATTCAAAATCAAATATCAACACAGTGCATAAACTAACAGAATGTGAATTACTACTAAACAAAAATGATCGGTTTGATAATGTAATAAAACTAATCAGTATAGTAACTTTTATCCATAAGAAAAAAGAGAATAGAAGACGAATTGATTGTCCAACGGAGTAATTAGTAATCAATACTTTATATTACCCATGAATGTATTGAAACAAATGCAAGAGAAGACGACCAGTGTAGCAGCAGCCTCTGCAGCAGTAGGTCTCAACAAAAATAAAGAAAAAAGCAAAATTCTCCGATGCAACACAACATGCACCAACCAAATCACTCTTGATGGAGATGCCTTGGAGGACGTTAACACCTTTACATATCTGGGCAGCATCATCGACGAGAAAGGTGGATCCGATGCAGATGTGAGGGTGCGGATTGGCAAAGCAAGGGCTGCATTTTTAATGTTGAAGAATATCTGGAACTCCAAACAACTTTCCAGCAAAAGCAAAATCAGGATTTTCAATGCAAATGTCAAGACAGTTCTACTGTATGAAGTGGAAACTTGGAGAACTACGAAAGCCATCATCCAGAAGATACAAGTATTTATTAACAGTTGTCTACGCAAAATACTTTGTATTCGTTGGCCAGACACCATCAGCAACAACGAACTGTGGGAGAGAACGAACCAGGTTCCAGTGGAGGAGGAAATCAGGAAGAAGCGGTGGAAGTGGATAGGACACACACTACGAAAAGCACCTAACTGCGTCACGAGACAAGCCCTCACATGGAACCCTCAATGCAAAAGGAAAAGAGGAAGGCCAAAGAATACATTACGCCGAGAAATAGAGAAAGATATGAGAGGAATGAACAAACATTGGACAGAACTGGAGAGAGAAGCCCAGGACAGAGTTGGTTGGAGAAAACTGGTGGGCGGCCTATGCTCCATTGGGGGTAACAGGCGTAAGTAAGTAAGTAAGTAAGTATTGAAACGAAAATAAAAATAAACTTAAGTCAATTAGCTTAAGCTAATAAGAAATGGAATATTTTTCTGACACAATAAAACGTTGAGCAGAATATATCAACTAGCTATCCTTACTTAGGATAAATAAATTCCAATCCTACGTTGGGCTTAGTTAAAATGCCATTCATTCATAAATCAAGAGCCTTTTTTGGTTCTTAAATAAGATTTTGATACTAAAATGATTTTTTTTACACTATGATCATATTGTAACAGCAGTACA